GGCGCGTCTGATTTTTATCTGCTACACTGGCGACGCTGCTTTGCTTTTTCGCTTTTTCTTCTTGTTTACTACTGGTGGTTGGCTTTGGGCGCTGTACCGCCACCTTCTGCTCCGGAGTCTACACACTTCGCCTATGAGAAAGAAGGAGCAGCGCATGAACCGAACGCAACACACGCAAATCGAACCGAGACAGTCGAACCGAACGGTTCGGACGGTTTTCATAAACCGTTCCATCCCTAGTCTCCATGTAGCACTGTGATGGTCTGTTGAGATTTCAAGGGTGTATCCTCCATCCATCCATCCATTATCCTCCGCTTATCCGGGGTCGGGTCGCGGGGGCAACAGCCGAAGCAGGGAGACCCAGACTTCTCTCTCCCCGGCCACTCCCGCCAGCTCCTCCAGGGTGATCCCGAGGCGTTCCCAGGCCAGCCGGGACACATAGTCCCTCCAGCGTGTCCTGGGTCTTCCTCTGGGCCTTCTCCCGGTGGGACGAGCCCGGAACACCTCCCCAGGGAGGCGACCAGGAGGCATCCTGATCAGATGTCCGAGCCACCTCAACTGGCTCCTCTCCACGTGGAGGAGCAGCGCCTCTACTCTGAGCCCCTCCCGGATGGCCGAGCTTCTCACCCTATCTCTAAGGGAGAGCCCAGCCACCCTGCCGAGGAAACTCATTTCGGCCGCTTGTATCCGCGATCTCGTTCTTTCGGTCACTACCCAAAGTTCGTGGCCATAGACGAGGGTGGGAACGTAGATCGTCCGATAAATTGAGAGCTTCGCCTTTAGGCTCAGCTCTCTCTTCATCACGACAGACCGGAACAGCGACCGCATTACTGCAGACGCCGCACCGATCCGCCTATCGATCTCACGCTCCCTACCCCCATTCGCGAACAAGACCCAGAGGTATTTGAACTCCTCCACTTGGGGAAGGACGTCCACTCCGACCCGGAGAAGGCACTCTACCCTTTTCCGGTGAGAGACCATGGTCTCGGACTTGAAGGCACTGATCCTCATCCCAGCCGCTTCACACTCGGCTGCGAACCGCTCCAGCGAGAGCTGTAGGTCCCGACTTGATGAAGCCAACAGGACCACATCATCTGCAAAAAGCAGAGATGCGATCCTAAGGCCACCAAGACTGACACCCTCCCACCGGAAACGAGTCCGACTTACTACCGCCAATGCGAACCAAACTCTGACTCCGGTCGTACAGGGACCGAACAGCCCGTAACAAAGGGCCAGGTACCCCATACTCCCGGAGCTGGAAATGAGCAAAAACAAATAAATACTCTGGAATCAGATCCCCTCTTGATATGTGAGGAGCAAAACCGAGGTTGCTTAGAATCACACGCAAAAGGAAAAGGAGTAGAAGAAAGTAAAAATACCCGGTAACGGCGAGGAGGACGAGGGGGTCAGCACAGAAATGCGAAGGACACGGTCGAACGCCTTCTCCAAGTCCACAAAACACATGTGGACTGGTTGAGCGAACTCCCATGCACCCTCCAGGACCCCGCTGAGGGTATAGAGCTGGTCCAGCGTTCCACGGCCAGGACGAAAACCACACTGCTCCTCCTCGATGCGAGGCTCGACTATCCGACGGACCCTCCTCTCCAGAACCGCTGGATAGACCTTCCCAGGGAGGCTTAAGAGTGTGATCCCCCTGTAGTTGGAACACACCCTTCGGTCCCCCTTTTTAAACTCCGACCGAATCTCATCCACCCCCGTTGCCTTGCCACCGCGGAGCTTTTTGACTACCTCGGTGACTTCAGCCACGGAGATTAGAGATTCCAACTCCGGATCCCCAGGCTCTGCCCCTCCAATGGAGGATGCGCCAGTGGGATTGAGGAGGTCCTCGAAGTACTCCGCCCACCGACCCACAACGTCACGAGTTGAGGTCAACAGCACACCATCCCCACTGTAAACAGTGTTGGTGGGGCACTGCTTCCCCCCCCTGAGACATCAGATGGTGGACCAGAATCACCTCAAGGCCGTACGGTCATTTTTCCATGGCCTCCCCAAACTCCTCCCACGCCCGGGTTTTTGCCTCGGCGACCACCCGAGCCGCACGTCGCTTGGACTGCCGCTACCCATCGGCTGCCTCCGGAGTCCCACAGGCCAAAAAGGCCCGATAGGACTTTTTCTTCAGCCTGACGGCATCCTTCACCGCCGGTGTCCACCAGCGGGTTCTAGGGTTTCCGCCACGACAGGCACCGACAGCCCTGCGACCGCAGCTCCGGGAGGCCGCGTCATTGATGGAGGCGCGGAACATGGCCCACTCGGACTCAATGTCATCCGCCTCCCCCGGAACGTTCTCGAAGATGTCCCGGAGGAGGGAGTTAAAGCTCCGCCTAACAGGGGACTCCGCCAGGCGCTCCCAGCAGACCCTCACAATGAGTTTGGGCCTCCCGGATCTCACCGTCATCCTCCCCCACCATCGGAGCCAACTCACCACCAGGTAGTGGTCAGTGGAAAGCTACGCCCCCCTCTTGACCCGAGTGTCCAAAACATGAGGCCGCAGATCAGTTGAAACGACAACAAAGTCGATCATTGAGCTGCGGCCTAGAGTGTCCTGGTGCCAAGTGCACATATGGACACTCTTGTGTTTGAACATGGTGTTATGGACAATCCGTGCCGAGCAAAGAAGTCCAAAAACAGAACACCACTCCGGTTCAAGCTGGGGGGGGCCATTCTTCCCAACCACGCCCCTCCAGGTCTCACTGTCGTTGAGACCTGGAGGGGCGTTTTGTTGAGGGTTGAAGTCCCCCAACAAAACGAGGGAGTCCCCAGAGGGGGCACCCTCCAGTACCCCCTCTAAGGACTCCAAAAAGTGTGGGTACTCTGTACTGCCGCTAGGCGCATAGGCACAAACGACAGTCAGGACCCGTCCCCCCACCCGAAGGCGAAGGGATGCTACCCTCTCGTTCACTGGGGTAAACCCCAACGTACAGGCACCGAGATGGGGGGCAATGAGTATGCCCACTCCTGCTCGGCGCCTCTCACCGGGGGCAACTCCAGAGTAAAGAGCGTCCAACCCCTCTGGAGAAGGCTGGTTCCAGAGCTGTGCGTCGAGGCGAGACCGACTACATCCAGCCAGAATCTCTCCGCCTCACACACTAACTCAGGCTCCTTCCCCGCCAGAGAGGTTATGTTCCACGTCCCCAGAGCCAGCTTCTGCAGCCGGGGAGCGGTTCGCCAAGATCCCCGACACCGGCCGCCGCCCAGGGCACAGCGCACCCGACCCCTTTGGCCCCTCCCACGGGTGGTGAGCCCCTGGGAAGGGGGAAACATGTAACCTCTTTGGGCTGGGCCCGGCCGGGCCCCATGGGTGAAGGCCCGGCCACCAGGCGCTCGCCATAGTGCCCCGCCCCTGGGCCTGGCTCCAGGGGGGGGCCCCAGTGACCCGCGCCCGGGCGAGGGTAATCTGAGTCCATTTTTGTTCTTCCTCATAAAGGGTCTTCTGGGTGTATCCTGCCTCTTGTAACTTGGAAGGGTGTAGGCGGAGAAGTTACCAGGGTTAGCCGTTAGCTCAGAGAGTTGACAGACAGAGAAGTCGGGATTTCCACAAGGTATTTTAATTAATAGTATTCTAGTATTCAACATCGACCATATAATGGCAGGTCTCCACGGCGCTACATTCACTAATCATACATGAGCTTTAAGATGTAGACAGCTCAACCGTCACCTTCTTGTTAGTGAGAGTCTTAGTGTGTGTGGAAGTCCGGAGGTAAATAAAAGCATGGCGGACAAGAAGTCCACTGTACCACAAAAAGGAGGTCACACCACCTTGTGACATTATTCGGTATTACAGTAACACATCTAGACTCTGACTGTTACATATTCCCCCCTGGTGATAATAAGGCTGCCCTCAGGCGTACACAGCTGAAAAAGTAACAAACCTGCACTTAACACCTTGTTATACATAAACACTAGAAAAGTTAGCAGTCATACCCAGGGAAAGGTATTACGTGAAGCACACTTATATACATACCAGCAGTGCATAATGAAAACAAATCCTAGCAAACGTATCCTAGCATATCAGGTCGGTAAATACAGTGTAAAATCCCTTTTGTTTCAAACTGGTTCATACAGAAACCAGAACTACATTACTGAAAGGAGGTAATATTCTCAACTAAATCCTGTAAGCAAAACTACCTAGCGGTGAAACCAGAACCACTTTGCAGGATAAACAATATAAACACAAAGCATTAAAAGCATTTCAACTCAGTCTTCAGTCACATACCTGACATAACAAACCAACTGCCTATTTCAGGTCAAGTCTGTCAGTATGGTAAGATTTTGTCCATCTGCTGTTTGGCCAGAAAGATGTAACTCTGTTGTAACCGTACAGCATTATAGAGGGGCTGAGTCCAGTGCTGTCATGTGGGGCTTTACGCAGTGCAAAGCAGATCTGGGAGAGAAACGTATCCCACAAAGTGTGCTTGTGTCCAACATAAGCACTTATGGTAGTTTTGAGTGTTCGTTCACACGTTCTGTCGCGTTTGTCTGAGGGTGGTAAGCAGTGGTGAGCCTGTGCACCGATCCGAGGGTGGAGTTGACATGTTCAAACAAACAACAACTCACAAAAGGGGAACCTCTGTCGGAGATGAGGTAGGTTGGGGCACCGTGTCTGGCAAATATTTCACTGACAAACTTTGCAGCCGCCAGATGCGCAGTCGCTTCCCTGACCGCACACACCTCAATCCACTTGGAGAAATAGTCAACAAAGAACAGCAAGTAGGCATTTCCAGATGCAGTGCGGGGAAGGGCCCGACGAAATCCACTCCTGCGTATTCCCGGGGTCTTTAAGGGAAAATAGCGATCTTGAGACCAGCCGGTGTCCTTTGGCTCGGCTTGGTAAGCTGGCAGACGGAACAGAAAGTGACATAGTGCTTAACATCTGCTAGCATTTTGGGCCAAAAAGAACTGTACTGTAGTCTAGCCAGTGTCTTTGAAATATCAAGATGACCTGCAGTGGGGTGGTCATGATAGTGGTTGAGCAAGGTGCCTCAGATTGATGTAGGGGCGTAGAGTTTGAGTTCTTTCAGCGGATGTAATCCACATCTGATTTTCGGGTCTTTGTAGTAGAGCAGACTGTCATGAACAACATACTGCTGGGGGTTGCTTTCGTCTGCATTCACATGTGGGTTTGTCTCAAGGTCTCTGAAAAGCTGACCTGTGACTGGGTCATCCAGCTGGAGTTGTTTCACATGTGTGCAATCTTCTAGCAACACAGGGGGTAGGGCGCGGAGATCCAAACTGCAGATGACAGCATATTCTGGAAGGTGATCTATGGGGGTGTCACAGGACATGGGCAGTGGGTTGCGAGACAGGGCGTCTGGCACGTTGTTGTGTGCACTAGGCTTGTGCACTATGGTGAAGTCCAAGTCTTGTAGTTGCAGTGACAAACGGGCTGGTCGTCCAGTGGGGTTAGGGCGGGACATAGGCCACCTGAGGCTGCTGTGGTCTGTGAAGATAGTTACATGAAGTCCTTCAACATATGGCCTTAAATGGCCCAAATCACAGCTAAACACTCTTTTACAAGGGTAGAGTATGGTTTTTGTGCTTTGTGCAGGGAGCGACTCTCATAAGCCAAAACTACGTCTCGACCTTCTTTGTCTTTTTGCATCAAGGCTGCACCCAGGCCGATGTCACCAGCATCAGCATGAATGAAAAAGGGGCTTGTGAAATGAGGGAACCTCAAGACGGGTGCTGACGTGACGCTCTTTTTCAAAATGTCCACAGCTTTCTGACATTCGTCGTCCCAGTGGAAAACAGCATCTTTCCTGGTGAGCGCATGGAGGGGCTCAGCATGGCGTGCATAGTCCCGGATGAAACAGTGATAGTATCCTTTCAGTCCGATGAACTGTCTGACTTGTTTCATGTTGGTTGGGGTTTTGAACTCCACTACAGCTTTGATTTTTTCCATATCTGGTTTTATGCCAGAAGGTGTGACGCAGTAGCCGAGGAAGGTGAGCTCGCTTAGGCAGAACTGACATTTCTTGAGTTTCAGGGACAGACCAGCTGCTTTGAGTCTTTTAAGGACGTCCTCCAGATCACTTAGATGCTGCTCAAAGGTGGGGGAAACAACAACAATGTCGTCCAGATACACTACATAGGTTTTGTAGATGAGACCAGCTAGGACAGTGTTCATTAGTCTCTGAAATGTGGCTGGTGCGTTGCAGAGACCAAAGGGGAGCACACGGAACTGGAAGAGACCACAGTGTGATATGAAGACTGTTTTTGGTCAGGACTCCTCTGCAACTGCTACCTGCCAGTATCCTCGAGCCAAGTCCAGTGTTGTGAAGAACCGCTCTCTCTCCAGAAAGTCCACTGACTCGTCAATACGTGGCAAGGGGTATGAGTCTTTTTGTGTGACCTGGTTCACTCCTCTAAAGTCCACACAGAACTTAGGGTCAGCACAGGGCCTGTTTACAATCACAACTGGGGCGGCCCATGGACTAGTAGATGGCTCAGTGATGTCATCCTGCAACATCTGTTGTACTTGTTTCTCGATAAAGCATTTTTTTGCTGGAGAAGTACGATATGGAGGGAGGTTTATAGGCATTGCGTCTCCTGTATCGATTGTGTGTTCAGTCAGGGAATTGTGTCCAAGGTGACCATCAAACATGTCGAAGAATTGAGAGAGAAGACTGAACATTTCTGCTTTCTGTCCTTCCTCCAGGTTTGCCTCTGCAACTTTTGTCATGAGAGAGGATTGTAGGGTGTCTAGGGACATCTAGGGACAGTCCTCCTCCTCATCCACCACAGGACAAGGAATGTCATCCATGAATACAGTTCTGAAGGGGATATGGATGGTTATTGAGGCTCTAATCATGAAATACATTCCCAGAATGAAAGGGGTTGACAGGTTGTGTATTATGGCAAAACGCTGGTAGAAGCGCTTGTTCATGAAGCCAATAGATAGCTAGGTGACACCATCAGGGATGCAGGAAGCACTGTTTGCAAGGCCCACCGGTGGACCTGTCCAATGATGTGTTTTAGCTGGATAGGAGTTGTTCAGTCGGACGAGGTCTGCTCGTACAGCTGAAAGCGTGGCAACTGTGTCTAGAGTGGCCTCCACAGACACAGAGTTAAAGTTCACTTTAGTTCTAAGCGGTGTATTCCAGGGAGCCTGCGAATCAGTGTCCTCAACATGGCCCAGAACATGCTGTTCTTGTGGGGGTGTGGCAGGTGGGTGACGCTCAACTAGCGTCTGGAGGGAGGATTGCCTCATTGAAATGTCCTCCCTCCCCTGAAGTTTCCAGACTGCCTGGCGAGTTGTGGTGTGTATGCCGTTTCAGTTCTAGTTTCCCCTTTACCTGGAGCCCCGACCGCCAGAGGGGTGGGGGCAGGCCTCGCTGGCGATAGGGTGTGGGGTGATGTCACATGGGGTGCAGCGTTGCAACTCGGGCAAGTGCGAGATGTAAACCCAGGTTGAGAGCATTTGAAACAGTGGGGCTCGTTGTTCTGGTTTCCTCTGAAGTGTGCAGGAGGAGGTTGGTGGCCGTTTGGTCCAAGAACTGCATGGAGCTCGTGAGCTCGCAGCAACAAGTCCATCACTGCCATACAGTGCAACCCTGTACATTTCCAGAGAATGCTTGCATATCAGTTCAATTTGCTCTTGTGCTAGTGGTGGGCTCTTTAATTTGCTAAATTCACTCAGCATGTGGGCCATAAAATGTATGGAGTTGAAGTGGCCATTGGGGTTAGGGTTTATTCTTGGACTGTAGGATGACCAGTGTCTTTTTTATTTGACTCATCCCAGTGTTTGATCATGCTGCGTTGCAGGTCAAGGGAGTCTAGTAGACATACCCGAAGTCTGTCAACCTCTGTGTGTAAGTCTTGAATTTACTGTTCAAGGTCTGAAGTCGAACTTTGAGGAATAGTGTACTTAGCGAGATCTACAAAGTCAAACTCTGAGTCAGGGTCAAACTCGTCGGTTTGTTTGTCTGGGTGGGATGCCATTATGCACTGATGCTTTAAATCATACACCTTTAAACTAGTACCACACTTGTTTGTTTCAGGGAGCAGAATTAAAAACTAACTGATCACAATACAGTTCCTGTCAAACAATACCGGCTCTTACAAACTACAGTTAGCACTGTGTGTATATGATTTTCACATGTAGCAAACCCAAAACCTTTTTATCCAAAAACGTAATGCTATTTGAAGAAAAATGACTAGAATAGTCCTACTACTGTAAGGCACGATAATCACTGAAAATGTTTTAATTGACTGAATGACACACAAAAAAATCACAGTGAAAATAAAGTAACCTCCAGCAGATAAGCGGACATATTTTCTAGGTTGTTTTTTTTCAGGAATCATACTGTCCTCTACTCAATCAGTCCAGTCAATTGTATTAAAAATTAAAAGTCCACAATCCACGGAAAAAAAGTTTTGAATCGATCTCACAAGGAAACTTGAATGTTTCTTTAAACCCGACTTCATGTGGAGTGTTACTGGGTTCCCGTTTTTTTTTTTTTTTCCCCACAGTCTTTTCTTATTACTCCGGTAATTTCAATAAGCAGAAGAATGAAGAAAAGCACCCGTATCCGACTCTGAGTTTGTTGCGCTCCAGTCCACCAGACGTGCACAGTCAAGGTTAGCTTAAGGAGATGTTAGCATCATACTAGGCCAGTAACGTCCAGTGAAACAGCAAAGCATCCACTTACACGGGCTCCCACGGGGAATAGATGCCGAAAGCAGTTCAGTCCGGTCTGTAGTCTGGGTCAGAGGGTTGAAGCGATGTCCAGAGAATGATGTTCGGGCGCCACTTGTAACGTGGAAGGGTGTAGGCGGAGAGGCTAGCAAGGTTAGCCGTTAGCTCAGAGAGTTGACAGACAGTGAAGTTGGGATTTCCACAAGGTATTTTAATAAATAGTATTCTAGTGTTCAACATCGAACATCGAACATCAATGTCTCCACTGCGCTACATTCACTAATCATACATGAGCAGTAAGATGTACAGTCATGGCCAAAAGTTTTGAGAATGATTCAAATGTTAATATTTACAAAGTCTACTGCTTCAGTTTTTATAACGGCAATTTGCATATACTCCAGAATGTTAAAAAGAGTGTTCAGCATAACAGCAATTAATTACAAAGTCAATATTTGCCTAGAAAATTAACTTTATCCCCAAAAACACATTTCAACGTCATTGTTGCCGAAATGGCTCCAGGGCGCCCAAGAAAGACCAGCAAGTGCCAGGACCGTCTCTTAAAAGTGTTTCAGCTGTGGGATAGGGCTACCAGCAGTGCAGAGCTAGCTCCGGAATGGCAGCAGGCAGGTGTGAGTGCATCTGCACGCACTGTGAGGCGGAGACTCTTGGAGCAAGGCCTGGTCTCAAGGAGGGCAGCAAAGAAGCCACATCTCTCCAGGAAAAACATCAGGGACAGACTGATATTCTGCAAAAGGTACAGGGAGTAGACTGCTGAAGACTGGGGTAAAGTCATTTTCTCTGATGAACCCCCTTTCCCATAGTTTGGAACATCTGGAAAACGGCTTGTTCGGAGAAGACGATGTGAGCGATACCACCATTCTTCTCTCATGCCAACTGTAAAGCATCCTGAAACCATTCATGTGTGGGGTTGCTTCTCAGCCAAGGGAGTCAGCTCTCTCACAGTCTTACCTAAAAACACAGCCATGAATAAAGAATGGTACCAAAATGTCCTCCGAGAGCAACTTCTCCCAACCGTCCAAGAGTAGTTTGGTGATGAACAATGCCTTTTCCAGCATGATGGAGCACCTTGCCATAAAGCAAAGGTGATATCTAACTGGTTTAGGGAACAAAACATAGAGATTTTGGGTCCATCGCCTGGAAAATCCCCATATCTTAATCCCATTGAAAACTTGTGGGCAATCATCAAGAGACGGGTGGAAAAACGAAAACCTAGGAATTCAAGCATTGATTGTATTTCTGTATGTGATGACAACATCTGACATACACACATGAAAACCAGAGGGCAGCAGATCATGTGAAAATATAATATTTGTGTCATTCTCAATACTTTTGGCCATGACTGTATACAGCTCAACCGTCACCTTCTTGTTGCTGAGAGTCTTAGTGTGTGTGGAAGTCCGGAGGTAAAGAAAAGCATGGTGGACAAGAAGACCACTGCGTATACATTGTACCACAAAAAGGAGGTAACACCACCTTGTGGCATTATTCGGTATAGCAGTAACACATCTACTGTAGACTGACTGTTACACTGCCACCCGACAAATGCTGGGATCAGCTCCAGCCCTAATCTTACCCTGACTAAGGTAGCTGAAAATGGGTGAATGGATGAATAGATTTCTACTGAGCGCAGTTTGTCCTGGCTCTATTTGACTCACACAGATATCTTTTTCTTGTTAGAGTGCCAATGCTGATGGACCTCTGCTATTCCCTCCAACTAGCTCACACTGATGATCAAATTTCCCAGCCAGTCAGCAATGG